TGTTTTTCATACAGAGCATCGCTTTCTGAGTGTGTTGACGTAAACTGAGAGCTGCTCAATGTAATGAGGACAGTATCAAGTTTGAATTTTGAGTAAGATTTGAATGGTGGATTCTGTTGATTAGGACGTTTTTCGGGATTTTGATTTTATATGTATGCCAGCTCAGTTCGTTTACTCTGTATTTCGCAGTTAAGAAACCTCGCTAGGAAGCAGAACGTCAATGAAGGATGAACGACGAAGAAGAAGCAAGTCAGAACCCTTTGGAGTTGACGAGTCAGACCTTCGAAATGGTATCTTCGTGGTCTCCACTTCACTATACTAAACAGATTCATAATTATAGATCACGTTCATGGAAGTAGCTGATTTAGTCCGAGAAGTTTCTGGTGCGTTTCCAAGTGGGAAGAAATCATTGGACCCATCCCTAATGATCAGTTGCGTTAGTTGTCAGGGTAGAAACCTGTTTGATCCTTCATCCTGTAGATCGATTTCAAAGTTAAGCATCTAAATCTTCTGAAGAGCATAGACACATGGAAAGCTCTTCTATATGAAAACTCGCAGAAGCTGTAACCTGATTGTATTGTTATCTAACACCCCCCTCTGTTACAGGCCACTCTTACAGAACACGAAAAATTTTTTGAGAGCGACGTTGGAGCATTTCATAGGCGACTATGATTACTTCTTGCTGGTGCAAAGAAGTCAAGTCGATAGAATCGTAGAACGTATTGTGTCNATTACTTCTTGCTGGTGCAAAGAAGTCAAGTCGATAGAATCGTAGAACGTATTGTGTCTTTTTTCGCACCAGGATATATTATGAAAAGCTATGACGAGCTGTTGGACTTTGGTAATATCATGATCTAATGCGATGTTCCCCTATTCGATAGGTACTTCTATGAAAGGTATCCAACCCGAAAGCTTAAAAGCTCAAAACAATTTCTTGTTTCGTTACCTAATAGGTTGGATGGGGTATGTTACCAATCCCAATATCATAAAATGGAAATTCAGATTGTTCTTTCATATTTCAAATGAAATTGCGGAGTTGAGATACCTGGATCCGAATTCTGTGAAAGTGCACAATCCGTTGATGGAGAAAGGTAAAGGGATGCTCCTTAAGAGCCATGATCTCATGGTTCTTTCAGATGAAACTGCCAATTACTTGTCAAACTTCGTATGTAATCCTACTCTAAACGAAATACAAAATTATGTGGAGCATTTTGGATTATTGAAGGTCTGTACCTAACTCTGGTCTTCATCTTACTTCCAATCCGTTACAGATGATCCACAGGGGTAATACGAAAAGAATTGCTGAGAGCTGCGTTGGTTACAAAGTTTTCAAAGAACTAGATGACGCAACGTTGATAGAGTTTAGCTCCGTCTTTGACATTTCTGTTTCAGAAAGCAGACGTTACGGAAGTACTTTGAAAACTTCAGTGCAGTCGCAAAACGAAAAATC